CACCCCTTAGGGCCCTTGGCCCCTTGTTACCCCAAGCATACATCAACCCTCCCTTCACCTCCCCCCCCCAACCTCACAAAACCTATAAGCCCTTTTTTTTTTTTTTTTTTTTGTGGGAATGCGGGCTTACCATTTCCCGCCTTTGCAACCGCTAGGGCCTTGGGCCGTTGGCCCCTGGTTACAGTGTTACACCACCCATACACCACCCCTGCCCCCATTCACCAACCCATCCCCGTGGGGCCGTATGGCCACACGACAATACGAGCATGTCTAGTCATTAGTTGAAAAAAGAAAAAAAAAACAGAAAAAAAAAAAGAAACCATTTACATTCTTGACCGCAAAAACAAAAAAAAAAGGAACACTACAAACTTGGTAAGTTAGTACAAAGTACTTCCTCCCGCTTTCGCACCCCTTGCGGCCCTTACGGACCTGCGGCGCTGCCGGCACCCACCCCCATATACCAACCCATCCCCGTAGGGTCATATCATGGCCCATATGAGCATGTCCTCTCATTGCTGGAGCAAAAAAGACAGAAAAACAGATCATTTACATTATTTTCCAAAAAAAAAAAAAAAAAAAAAGAACAGACTACAAAGTACCTCCTTCAAGTTCCTTCCGCTGTTGCACGGACACAACTTGCACCCCTTGCGGCCCTTAGGGACCAGCGGCGGCCTCACCCATTTACCACCCCGTCCCCTTAGGGCCATATGATGATACGAGCACCCTTATCATTAGTGGAAAAACAAGAAAACCATTTACATTATTTACCGCACAAAAAAAAAAGAAAAAAAAAAAAGAACACTACAATCTTAGTACAAAGTAGTTCCTCCCGCTTTCGCACCCCTTGCGGCCCTTACGGACCTGCGGCGCCCACCCCCATTCACCAACCTGTCCCCGCAGGGCGACATGAGCATTTCCTCTCAATGCTCTCATTACATGAAAAAAAAAAACAAAAAAAAAACAGACCATTTACATGATTTACCGCAAAAAAAAAAAAAAAAAAACCTACAAAGTACTTCCTTCCGCTGTTGCACCCCTTGCGGCCCTTATGGACCTGCGACGGCCTCCCCCATTTACCACCCCATCCCCGTATGGCCATACGACAATGTCTTCTCATTACAGAAAAACGAAAAACACAAAAAAACAATAGACCATATACCCCCCCCCTTTGACGCCATTTCAAGTTTCAACAGCCAAAAAGTAAAAAAAAGGGGACACCCCTTCCGTTCTCCTCATTCCGTCTTGCCCCTTTTCCACAGCATGCATGACTCTTATTGACGACAATGAGGATGGTTCAACTCACAATGCACAGTTGAACTCACCTCAAATAATGTCAATGAGGCATGCCCTTCGATTACAAAAGCAGTAGAGTGCCTTGTGCCCAGCTCCTTTTGGAACAATATGGGCTGCCACACCATGCGCAGGCAGCACCAAAGGAGTTATGGGACACAGGCACACCACCAAACTGCAGTTTCCAACTTCCCGCACTCTGCCCCCACACAGTCTAAAACGGAATACAGAAAGACACCCTATTGGGATGGCCACGTGGCATGCATGTATGACTTCGTTTTTTGGTGCTAGTTTTCCTACTCTGATTGTCCCCCCCTCTCATGGGGCTGTACGCTCTTGTTACACGTTGAGAGTTTCGGAGTAGGTGATAAGCAGGTATGACTTCGTTTTTTTTTAGCACTAGTTTTCCTATTCTGATTGTCCTTCCCTCTCATGGGGCTGCACGCTGTTGTTGTACGTTGAGGGTTTCGGAGTAGCTGTTAGGCTAATGCTTTGTGAAAAAAAAAAAAAAAAAAAAAAAAAAAAAAAA